GGCACCCGGTGCGGCGGCGGGGGCCGCGGCGGTGGAGGCCGCGGTGGCGGCGGCCGCCGCGGCGGCAACACCGTCGGTCGAGCCGGCGGCGGAAGAGGCGACGGACGAGGGGACTTCGAGCCCGTCGCAGGGTGGGCGGGCGGGGTGCCGGGCTCAACCTCGTATGAGGGAGACGGGGACCCGGGGGCCCACTCAGACTCAACCTCGGGGGAGGGAGTCACAAAGCCAGGTGGTGGCGACAGAGGGCGCCGTGCCGGGGGGGCTGCCGCCGCGCATCGCTCCATGAAGGGGGCGTGGGGGCCGGCGCAGAAGGGGCCGAAGCTGGAGGAACCTGAAAGAAAGGGAACACCGTCTCGACAAAGTACACATGCCCCGAGGTGTACACACGATGAGTGACAGGATCATAGCACCGGTAACCTTTGGTGTTAGGAGGGTAGCCAAGGAAGATGCATGGGGCGGATCGTGGTGCGAGCTTGTGTGGCGTGGTGGACGCGGTGCTAGGATAACAGAGACACCCGAAGATGTGGAGACCATCATAGGACGGTGGTGTGCCGAAGAGAAGGTGGTGAGGGGCGTAGTTCCACCGAGGGCGACACGGACGAATGTTAACTAAGAGAGTGGCGGTAGCGAGGGCATCGGGGCAAAACCGAGCGGGCACGTTAGAGTGAAAGAGTAACGTGCGAACGCAGTCATTAAGAGTGCGGAGAATGCGCTCGGCGCGGCCGTTCTGCTGGGAAGTGTAGGGGCAAGTCAGACGGAAGGTGGTGCCGTGAGAGGCGAGAAGTGTGCGAAAAGCGACGTTGTCAAACTCTTTTCCGTTATCAGTTTGGAGTGCGAGTATGGGGCGACCGAACTGGGTGGTGACATAGGAATAAAAGGCGGTGAGTGTGGCTAAGGCATCAGATTTGCGACGAAGGGGAAAAGTCCACACATAATGAGAATAATCATCTAAAATCACCAAGTAGTATAGATAGTCCGTGTTACTCGCAACAGGAGATGTCCAAACATCACTATGAAGTAATTGAAACGGAAAAGTGGAAACTGAAAAAGACGCACTAAAAGGAAGACGAACGTGCTTGCCTAAGAGACAAGCCTCACAAGAGTGCTCGTCGAGCTTATCACATGAGAAAGAGAAACTCCTAAGAATTTGACGTAAGACAGTGTGGTTGGGGTGACCCAAGCGAGCGTGCCAAAGGTCAACGCCGGCGGCAAGGGCGACGGGTGTGGATGTGGAGGCTCCAGCGTGCACGGGGTAGAGCTCATCGGGACTGTCACATCGGTGAAGGACCATCCGGGTACGGGCGTCTTTCACAGAAAAGCCAACACTGTCAAATTCAACAGTAAGTGGGTTTTCACGAGTAAGACGACGAATGGAAACTAGGTTCGTGACTAAATCGGGTGAAACAAGAACATTAGACATAGTGATGGGTGTGGAAGTGGAGGGAAAGAAAGTGCTACCGATATGAGTAATAGGTAAAGAGGAGTCGTTGCCGACGGTGATACGAGTGGGTGTGTGAACGGGAGTGGAGGAGGTTAGGTTACCGGGATGAGCTGCCATGTGTGCTGGGCGGCGAGGAGGGTGGGGTCCCATGGCACAGGTACCGGCGGCAGCGGAAGGCCCTCGTAAGGCGGCACCGGGACGGGCGGGCCATAACCACCGTGCGGCGGCGAAGCAAGGAGGGAGCCGTAGCCGGCACAAGTCGGCTGGAAGGGCGCGCCGATGAACGTCTAGTGGCCAGCGGGGAAAGCCTGCTGATAGTGCGGCGCCCCCCGGTGTCCTGGGCCTGCTGCTGCTGCAGGCGGCGGCGACTGCCGCCACGCCGGTTGCATCAGCCCCCTCCCCCTTGCGGGTGCTGCGGGGGGGAGGGGGGCGGTGGTGGCGACAAGGGGTAACACCCGGCGGGTGCGGGAGGACGCGACTGGATCGGCGTGGCCGGTGGAGCGGTTCCACCGCAGATGGTGAAGTAGCCCCGAGAGTCCATGAAAGGCGTCAGAAGCGGCAGGAAGAGGAAGGGGGGCGGCGGCGACAGCACATGGGAGCGCGCGGTGGCGGTGGGGAGCGGCGGCGTGCGCGAGGAGGCGTTGTGCGGCGGCGGCGGCGGCGCGCGAGGAGGCGCTGCGCGGCGGCGGAGGTGGCGCGCGAGAAGGCGCTGCGCGGCGACAGCGGCAGTGGTGGGGAGCAGCGGCGGTGGCGGCGCACGTGGGGAGGCGCTGTGCGGCGACGACGGCGGCGGTGTGGAGCGGCGGCGGCGGCGACTTGGCGCGGGCGGCCGAGCAAGGGGTATTGTGGAGGAGGTGGCAGCCGCGTCGGCCGGAGCTAACCAGGCACACAAAAAAACGATCAGGCAAGATGTAGTTGACTAGCAAAGCTAGCTAGGCTTGACTTGATGGATTTGCTGGCTATGAAGACACGCAGAGCTGGCTAGGTGCGGGACGTACGGGGCGGCGGTACGCAGGGCGCGGGATGGGCTACTCAACAATTTCGACCATGCCACGCAGCTCCAGCCTGGGTGGGGGCGCTTGTCATGGTGAAGCAGAGGATGAGGAGGGTGCCCAGGGCAGGCCGTTGTGTTGGCGTCGCGCTCTGCTCTTGTGAGCTTGGTGCGGACGGAACGGAACGGAACGGCGCATGCGATCTCTACCAAGTAGCTTCACCAATCTCCCAACCACCTCTGCTCGTCATATAGCCACAGGGAGTATCTTGACCCGTCATTAGTGGGCAGGATACAAACTCAAAAGAAGACCTAAAAACGGAGTAGGTCATTAAAGCGCAAGGCATGGAAAAGACACCCAGAGAGTCGCTGGTGGAGAAGCTATAATCCTGAACCTGTAAAGAGCAGCAAATTTCATATTGGTGCAACATGTTGCTTATGCGCGCCAAAGATCCTTATGAAAATTTTAAAAAAATTAGCACCAGCGGCCGAAAATCAGAACCCAACTTTCTAACCAATAAATAGAAGTGGCGGCCAGACATGGGTAAATGGTAGTTATGCATTCACCCAGTTGCTCTCCTTCCTGCAGCTTTACGGCAACTTCTTGCCTTCTTAAACTGAAACCACGACGAGTAAATCAGAACGAAGGGAGTACAAACTGCTCTCCAGACACCCTAACTGATTGATCAGGAGGATAATGGCCATAGTAGTTTACCTCATACTATTAACTAGCAGTAGGCTTGACAAGAGATAATCCATTCCAATGACAGCCTCAAATGAACCATCAAGTCAACTCATGTTTATAGCTAACAAACAGCAGCAATACATCATACTCCCTCCATCCCATAATATAAGAGCGTTAGTGTAAAAAACGCTCTTATATTATGGGACGGAGGGAGTACATCACAGAGAAAAACCAATTCGCAGAAATCGACAAACTAAACTAGAGGCACATCATAAGCTCACAAGCATGGCAGCACCGTCGATAGGGTAATTTAGGACTTTGTACACTCCGTCTTGCACCTGTTCATGGTCGGGTAGCAGTAATCTTTTGGAACGCAGCAAAAGCAGTCTCCGTGGGAGCTGCATTGCTTCTGATCTACAAGAATGCACAACCCATTTGGTAAATTGATCTTGTCAGACGCAATTCGGCCTGTGATAAGAAATATACAATTATTTTAGAGTAGAATAAATAAACGCGCGCAACAGATCAGCCAAGAACCAAAAGAAAGAAAAAAAGGCATTCACTAGTACGTACATACTTGCAGGACAAGTGCAAAAATTAACCCGGTTAGGTTATCATCGATGAGATAGATTGATTTGATTAAAAAACAGTGAAACCCAGCATCACATTTTAGAGACGTTATTAAAACTGGTTGCAGGCAAGTTTGGGATCTTTAGTTGGAACCTTGATGAAAAACAGAGGTTGTAAAATCTGTTGAAAACCAGCTGGGTAGATGAAAAACAAGTAGATAGAGGTAACTAAAGATGCCACTCAGCATAACCTGGATGGATGGGTAAAAATGACCGACGACGCACCTGGCCAAGTGATGGCCGACGTCCCGACGGCGAAGCAAAGGAGGAGGAGGAGGACGACAGCCATCGTGTTGGTGGGGGCTGCGCTCGTCATGGCGGTTGGGTTGCAGCGAAGCAGATGAGGAGGGCAGGCCGTCGTAACTTAGTGCAACAAAGTTTTAGGGCAACTTCTTGCCATCTGCAACAGCATTAGGGCAAAGCTTTAGTGAAGCTTTAGGGTAGAGGGGGGCGTAGCAGAAATGCTCTCGAGACACCCTGACTGATTGATCAGGAAGATAATGTTCATAGTTTTACTCATATAAACTAGTAGCAGTAAGCTTCACAAGAGATAATCCATTCCAATGACAGCCTCAACCGAACCATCAAGTCTCATGTTTACAGCTAACAACAGCAATACATCATCATCATACATAGAGAAAATCGGTTCACAAAAACCGACAAACTAAACTAGAGGCACATCATAAGCTCACAAGCATGGCTGCCGCAGCAGTTTGTTTCGCCAGCAAAGACAGCAGCGAGTTCCTTCCTCGACTCAGACAGCGGCTCAGCTCACATCATCTACCTCCTCACAGGAGGCGCACCACCTCGTCCTCCTCCAACTGGGGGGCCACCACCACGTCCACCAGCAGCCTGCATCAAATTTTTTTCCGCAAGTTCAAACATTAGTGACTATACATACAGCTGTTGAATAATACGTGTTTGCCAAACAGAAAGTTCATCCAAGGATTAATAACAAGCCAAACAATTTGTTCATTCTCATATTTTACCGCATAAAATAATTGATGCTAGATAGATAATGATTGTAAGTTTAGAATCAGTGAAATAGTTTGAATCACTAATATTTCCAATTCCCTAAATCAAATCTTGGTTAAACTGCTGGCGTTTTTCAGAGATAAGAATTCCGAGTTCCCCAGTTCCAGCATTGGATAAAATGTTACAGGGAACAACGACAAGACAGGGAAACTGGAACATAGGCTCTCGGTGTTGCTTTTCTTCATAATACAACTCTGCAGCTATAAGGTAACAGGGTACTGCTACCCAACCCACCTAGACACCAGAACGAAGTAAGCAAAATTGCTAGGGCAGGATTAGACATTAAATGAACATTAGAGATAGAAGCTTGTTGGCCGTTAAAATGACAGACTGTAATGCTCAATGTTCACAGCATGTACAGGACTTGTCTCCTCCACTAGCCTAATGATGATGAGATTAGCTCCAAATTAGACTGAGCACTAGTGGGGAACTCCCTCTGTTTCGAATTATAAGATGTTATAATTTTTTTTCTGAATCGGATGAATATAGACGTGTTTTAGTGTGTTTGTTCACTAATTTCAGTCTGTATGCAGTCCATATTGAAATATCCAACACGTCTTACAATTCAGAACAGGGGTGATAACACTTATATAAAAGATTTAATATTTCATCAGCCTAAATACTTCCAGACCCGTGCCCAATGGGATACTGTCCTCAAAGGAATTAAAAACTGAATGCATGACATTAATGGACACTCCCTCTGTTCACTTCTATAAGACGTTGTAGACATTTCAGACGGTGCCTAAAACAGTTCAATCTCAGCTATCTGAAACGTCTAATAAAAAAGAACGGAGGGAGTAGTTCATATTTCTTTTTCAGATTTAGTACATGATCATAGTTACTCAATTTTAATAGTATACTGTTATATAGCATCCCACAATGTTCTCCAGAGAGAAGATTCCTAGTTCCCTAGTTCCAAACTGGGATGAACCCCAGTGTTTTTCACAGAGCGATTTCAAGTTCGCTAGTTCCAACCATGGATAATATATGGTAATGGTGAACAAGGGCTCTCAGTTTTTGGCTTGTCATGATACGGATCCACATCTAGGGGAAAAGAAGCATGAAAGGGTATAGTTACCCACCAAGACAACAAGACATAAATGTAAATAGCTAGGGGAAGATTCAGCATCAACTGAACATGAGAGATGGAAGCTTGTCAGCCTTCAAAGTAACACTGACTACCGAGGTGCAGTGTTCACAGCAAGAAATTGCTATCATCTCAAGTATACGACTTGTTAGCAGCTCCCAGTCTGACAATGTGGGGGTAGGATTAACAAAGACTAGCCCTAGTTCTGGGTCTCGTGCGTTTGAACATTTATCTCTACATTGTAGGCTATGTGTTTATTTTGAAGAGGAAACAGAAAAACAGGGCTTAATCAGAAGCATCGACAGCAACCATATCGCTCCGAACGCAAATGTTTTTTTTTTACAATAGACCAGCTATCAGCAGCACTGTGTGCTTAGGAACCCCAAGACTATTTTAATCACCAGCTCCGAGCGCAAATGTTCACAACAGGAAGAAACTGTAATCATCTTATGTACAAGACTTGTAAGCAACTGTCAATTAGCCTAATGTTGATGCCTAGGAGTGAGGATTTGACAGAAAGAACAGTAACTCCAAATTAGATTATGCACTAGTTAGATAGCGATTATTACATTTGAAATTTACAGCCAATATAATTCCAGACTCACAGCCTAATGGGATACTGTCGTAAAAAGAACTAAAACTTAATTGCAGAAATAAATGGATAGTTCATATTTCCTTTCCAGTTTTTCATGCATAAATGTTTTCTTGTTTTATGATGATTACAATTTTAGAGTTAGTGTGAACAGAACATGGCAATAAGCCAAGTTTCTTAACTAGTTAGATCCTAGTTACTCAAATTCTGATAACATATGCCCACAATGTTTCCCTGGTTCCAAAAGAAATTGTTACAGCATCCCACATTATTTATCAGAGAGCAGAGTTCAGGTTCCCTAATTCAACTATGGCCTATGGATAAGTCAAAGGAAACAATGAAAACATAGGGTATAATGCTGAACACAGGCTCTCAGTTTTGTCTTGCCATAGTACGAATCCATGTGTAAGAACAAAAAAGAAACATAATAGTGTATCACTGCCCACCTAGACAACAAGAAACATAATAGGCTATGTGTTTTTTGAAGAAGAGAAAGACAGGGCTTAATCAGAAGCAGCAACAGAAATAATATCGCTCCAAACACATTTTATAAGAAAAAATAAAAATAGACCAGCTATCAGCAGCTCCATGTGCTTACGAACCCCAAGACTATCTTAATTACCAGCTCCGAATGCAAATGTTCACAACAGGAAGAAATTATAATCATCTTATGCACAAGACTTGTAAGCAACTGTCAGTTAGCCTAGTGATGATGCCTGGGAAGTGAGGATTGACAGAAAGAACACTTAACTCCAAATTAGATTATGCATTAGTTAGATAACGATTACAGTTTTTACTCACGGCCTAATGGGATATTGTCAAGAACTAAAACTTAATGCCTGAAATTAATGGATAGTTCATATTTCCTTTTTCAGTTTTTCGTTCATAAATAGTTTCTAGCGTTATGATGCTTACAATTTTAGAATCAGTGTGAAGAGCCCATGGCAATAAGCCAAGTATCTTAGCTAGTTACATCCTAGTTGCTTAAATTTTGATAATATCAAGCCCATGGCAATAAGCCAAGTATCTTAGCTAGTTACATCCTAGTTGCTCAAATTTTGATAATATCACCCATAATGTTTCCCTGGTTCCAAGCTTAATACAAGGTGTTACAGCATCCCACATTATTTTTCAGAGAGCAGAATTCAGGTTCCCTAGTTCTAATTCAGGTATAATGCTGAACACAGGCTCTCGGTTTTGTCTTGTCATACTAGGAATCCACAAGTAAGAACAAGGAAACATAATAGGGTGTCACTGCCCACCTAGACAACAAGAAACAACGCAAATAGCTACTGAGAGAAGATTTGATGTTGTTGGCCCTTTAACTAACACCTCCGCACTCACAGCAAAAACAAATCGCATCCTCTGATGTACAGAACTTGTGCCTAAGCAACTCCCAATTTGCCTAGTGCGCCGAATGAGGACTAATAACAGTAGAAAACTAAGAAGAATAACCCCTGGTACCAGGGACATGTTACAATTGGCCAACTATCCGTCCGCAATACAGCGTGCATAGGAACCGCAAGACTATTAAGTTGCAGATATGAGATATCAATCTCTCCTAATTCAAAGCTCAATGTATCAACTATCGAGTGCTGTATAGGGTCAATTGCAAAGTGTAAATTACTGAGAATTGCTGCTTACCCGGGCACGCATTGCGACAGCACGGCCGCGCCCGACGCCGATGGCCGACCCCTTGCCCTGCACACAGCAGGGAAGCAAAGTCAGTGGGCCGCAATATATGAATTGACCTAAAAAACAAAACAAAAACTGAAAGAAAGAGGGAGAGGCGCACCCTTATCCTGGCCTCGAGGCGCTTGAACATGGGGGCGTTCTTGAGCATGTCGGGGATGATCATGAAGCGGACCCTGCTGCCCCTGATGAAGACGTGCTCCAGCTGCGACACCTTGCCGTCCTACAGATTCGTTCGTTTGTCACCAAAACCAGACGAGATTATGAGATGAGGGAGGGGAAGAAGAGGAAGAGAGGAGGCACAAACAAACCTTAGCTGTGAAGGTGATGTTCTCGATCTGGCAGTTCCAGTTGTCCTCGCACTCGATCATGGAGCCCCGGTAGACCTCGCCGGTCTTGAGCTCCACCGTCACCACGTGCCCCGCCGCCTCGTGCAGCAGCTTCACCGGGATCCCAAGGCTGCGGCTCATCTTCCTTCTCGCGAGCGCCGCGCCAAACCCTAGCTCGCTCGGTCTCGACTCTTTCTGAAGCCGCCGCCGCCGAAGAGGAGAGGAGAGGGGAAGGGGAATACAAGAGGGAGGAGGACGAGGCGGCGGCGAGGGTTTCTCTTTGTTTGGGCTCGATGGGTTCTTATTTCAGGCCCAGACTCGATGGATTCTTATTTCTGTCCCAGGCTCGATTTCAGGCCCAGATGTATATACACATATTTTATAGTGTAGAAGATCCCCTCATTTTTCTCCGTATGTAGTTCATGTTGAAATCTCTAAAAAATACTTCAATTTAGGAACGGATGGGATTAGTTCATATCTGAGCTTGATGGAAAATGTGTTGTTCTGGATATTGGTGCCAGTTTATAGTAGGAGGGCTAAAAGAAATACCGGAGAAGCACGTTGCAAAGAGGTGGGCGGTTGATGCAAGGGATGTTTTGTCACATCACCTTAAGCAATATCAAAAGGACAAGGGCGCCATTGTGATAACTACGTAAATCATTCCCTGAACGAGCTACTTAATCACCTGCCTCTCCACGCCATCTGATACTAACGTCGAGTTTATATATGCTACTTTCTATGGCTATAAATTGATCTTTGATGAGTGGCATAATGGCCTCAGAACCGCAAGAGCATGCATATATCTCCACAGCAGCACGGAGATGTTAAAGCATATCTCATGTGAAGTCTCTTTAATCCAACGCAAGAATCACGTATACAACCTATCATAGCAACATTAATATACGATATCTCTGTTGTAGTTGGAAACCAATGAGATGGACCTAAGCAACGAG